AAAGAGGCAAGTTGCAGTGGAAAGAAGACAATTGATATTTACTTAATGTGGGTACACTGAGAAGGACAAAACACCCAATAAAATAACCAATGGCTCCAGGTCCATCCTAAAGCTACTACCATCAGCCTGAGATAGATACACAGAGCAAAAGGAACCCTAATTAACCAAAAATATGAGGCTGTCCAGTAAGTTCTACAAGGTTTGTGGATTGGTTTTCTGAGAGACAAGCTCCTCCTCTGGCTAGCACCAGGGCTGCCATCTTTCCTGATGCTGAAAACAGATTCTTAGTGAAATAATAATTCCTTGACCATTGTTTTAGTGGGCTGACAGCCTTAAGGGAGAGGAAAACTGTCTTTCCTCAGAATATCAGCTCTCCTGCTAGGTTAATTACATGACCTTTACTCTCTCTCTCTCTCTCTCTCTCTCTCTCTCTCACACACACACACACACACACACACACACACACACAAACACACACACAGTGCTTGCAAGATGTTGTCTGAGACTTAGCTGGAGGTTTATGACATAGTCATGTTCAGAATCTTTTCTATGATGTTGCTCTGGGGTTATCCTGGCATAAGCAATTTAAGATTAAGCTTGAAAATCATACCCTTCATGGAGTGTGTCTGAAGATTCAGTTGTTCAGGTCATTCTACTCCAAACTGCTCCCTCTTCATGTTCTGTGGACTACAGAAGCCCATTTAACCATCTTCAGCTCAGAAGGGTCCAACTTCTCTGTTATGCTTCATCAATCATGCAAGTAAAAGGCGAGTTGATGGGTGGGATTTCTCCACCTATGAAGGGCACAGGGCTTACCAGGAAGACTTTCACATTCTCTTTACCAAGTAGCAACAGCAACTGTTTCAGAGGAGCTAGTTTTTCTCAGTCTCTGAGAGGAATATACAAAAAGACATTCCCAGCAGAAGGAGAGAAGGACCTCCATTTACAGAGTCCTTTGAAGTACAAGGTATCCACACTCTCTTCAGTCTCTGGCTATTTCTTGTTGGAGTAGCAGGCTCCATCCTCTTTGGTTGTTATTGGCAAAGACAAGTGGAAGAACATCTTGATTTTCTCAAAGTGATCTTCATAGATTTCAGGAAATGTGTTTAATATGATGCCTTGATGTTCAAAAGTCCACACGCGTCCCTCCTCACTCACATGCAGATTAGGATATAAGGCTATTAGTTATTCGTCCTGCACCATGCCTGCCTGTATGCCTGCCACCTTAATCCTGACTGTGATGATATTGGATTAACCCACTAAACTGAAAGTAAGCACCAAATTAAATATTTTTTTCCTTAAAAATGGTCTCAGTAATAGTGTCTCCTCACTTCTACAGGATTGTGAATGCATGTCTGCAACCATGATCCCAACCATGGTGATATTAGACTAACCAACTAAAACTGATTGCAAACCACATACTAAAATTTTCTCTCAGAAATATCAAGGGCATGGTGACTCCTCACAGCAATAGAATATTAACTAAGACACTTTCCAATAAACGTACTAAGTCCACCATCAAACAAGAGCGTATCACTTAATTTGTAATGATGGTCCTGTTAGGAAGCAGCAGTCTGCTGACCCAACCCCCGATGAAGGGAAGGATGCTCATGACCATGTCATCGCTATGTCAGGATTTAGCTGGCTGCCTAAGCTTTACCTGGATGCCAGAAGATTCAGTTACACATGGGCAAGTATCCCTTTTAAATCAAGCCTGCCAAGTGCACAGCTCTTTTGCCTTCTCTCTCTTTGCTCTCTCTCTCTCTCTCTCTCTCTCTCTCTCTCTCTCTCTTCTCTCTCTCACTCTCTCCTGTGCTTTCGTTTGGCCACCACCTACCCCCCTTTCCCATTTCTAAATAAACTACACGAAGGCACTGAGTCTCATATTTGTGTTTCATAGACAATAGTTGTATCAGAAGAACAAAAGGTCCCACATAAGATAGCATTGCTACCTACTCTTTATGCCCCTGACATTCATTTCACAAGCTACAACCACACTATACATTGTACAGTAACCCAGAATTAGAATAGAGAAAGATTTAAAATACAAAAGATGTCATTCATCTCAATCTGCTCCTTGATTGCCTTTATGGAAATCCAACATTCTGGTTTGCACAATTTTCTCCTGTTTCTTAAGAGTTCTCTAGGGCAGGTCTTCTGATATATATATATTAAATTTGAAATCTTTTATTTACTCCTCATTGACAGATTTCCCAGATGTCTAATTATAGGTAGTTTGGGTCATATTTTCTCTCTCAATGAGCATTTGGAACAGTTCAGCCCACTCGGTTACTCTGCATGGACTCCTGTGAGAAAGCAAAACAACCCAAGCACTGGCCTAGGTGTGGGCAGCTCATTTGACTCAGAAAAAAGGAGAAGGGGAAATATTGCAAATCTGATGATCTCCATGTCTGTTGGGGGAGGGAAGAGACCGATCAAGTAACACGGCTGATTCTCTGTGAGAGAGATCATAGACCTGAACTGTGATTTCCAATGGTCTTTCTCTGCTTGCTTTCCTTTCCCTGGCTACAGATGTGACTTCTCCAACCTGTTGATTCCTTAGGTGAGACTGGGTGGAAAGAGGAAACTGACTTTGGCAGAGTACTTATTTTACAGGTAGGATTAGGTTATGACAAAATGCTTCCTGTGGATGGCAACTCTTCATTTGGGAGAAGGCTCTGAGGGCATTTGACATCCAGGCTGTCCTTTCTATTGTCCAGGAAAACCAAGTCCTCTTGGGGGACTCAGAGACCCAGCAGGGAGTGTGGAACTGGGCTCAAGGATTCAATAGCACCTAATCCATGGAATTCTAACTTAATCTTTAACTTGGAGTTCAGATCCATAAGACTGGCGGGTTAAAACTTGTTGAGATCCTTTGGTGTCACTATCTACACTCTTTGAAGCTCCCTCTCATGAGCAAATGGTTTGGAGTTGATATAATATGCTACATGCAGAAACACAAAATCTTCTGATGAAGAAATTCTCCATCTAAGAAAGCAGTGTTTCTATAGCAGAACGCAAATGAACCTGCCAGAAGGAAAATGCCAAGCGCTGGTTCAGTCAGGGCAGCTCATTTGACTTAGATAAAAAGAGACAGAGGACCTAGGTGTCTTTCCCCGGATTTGAGATTTTAAACGCAATAAGTTCCCTAGGGTCTGTAGAGTTTCCACACACTTAGTACAATATTTGCATTTGCCTTAGCATTCCTTTTAATGAAGTAACACATAAGAAGAACAGTGCACAGATGCAAAAACAAAAATCATCTGTATTTAGCTAAGCTACCACATGCTTGTAAGTCTATGAAGCAGTAGCTTGAAAATGACTGGCACTGTTCAAACCTGTACGACTCTCCATCTGTTCATTTACTCTGAGTGTCACCACATCAGTGTTTAGGTCACCATACATGTCTTCTTTTAAAATTCAAGGACACAGGATTCTATTCCATCTGGTATTTTGCAATATTTTGCAAGGGAACACTGCTAGGTTAGAGAATGTATTTTTTTTTTTTTGTGAGTCCTGTTTGCACTGGATGTTTTACGGGCAGCGTGTATCAGCAGTGAGTAAATACCTCCACATCTCGGCAGCTCTGACGTGATGGAACTGTAGTTATCATCCAGAACTAAGTCCTCGGTCACATGCTGGGAGATGGAAAAGGCCCACAGTGCTCAAGTTAATTGAAGGACAAAGACTTGTGCTTAGTACCAGAATGAAATTCCTTCCCATTTTCATATGCCCGATAATACATAGGATGCATTCTGAAAACTCATGATCAGTTGAAAGACGATTCAGTTCAATAACTCCACACCCGAGGGGTTCCCTTGATTTCTGTACCTCCTTTCCCAAATCACATCTCTCCCCACAACTCGAGTCCTTGAGCTAAAGCATGAAGTCCAGTCTGAACATATTGGCACCTCCTCCAAACTGCACTCTGCACAATAGCCTCTTTGAGAAGAATGCCCAGAGCCACTACTTTTCAATACATTGTAATTTAACTTTGTTATCTCTTTCACTTTTGCTGAGACACTGCAAACTACAGCTAAACTGTGATGCTTTCTAAACAAAATAGTTCTGAACCCAAGGGAAAATGAGAATAGCAATCAGTGGTTAAGAATATGATCTACATTTAAGGAGCGATATAAAGAGGTTTCTGGGTACCTACTACAAACCTCTGTGCTTAAAACATAGGATTCAAATACTTGGTGAATAAGATGCTTCAGAATAGAGATTTTTCAAGAAAAAAGTATAGCTCCAGGTCTAAATGGATAAGTTTACACCCACAAGATTTGAAAAACTGTGTGTGTTTATTCCTTCATTTCAGGCAGCATACATGAGGATCCCCCCCACCACCACACACACATACACCCACACACACACACACACACACACACACACACACACACACACACTCACACAGAGACAGACAGACAGAGAGAAATAGAGACAAAGTAGGCGACAGAGACATAGGCACAAATATTGACACACAAACAGAGACAGAAAGACAGACAGACACAGAGACAGAGAGAGAGAGGGACAAACAGAAGCAGAATAGGCAACAGAGACATAGGCACAAATATTCACACACACATACGCACACAAAGAGAGGGAGAGAGAGAGACAGGGAGAGGGACAGACAGAAAGAGAGAGAGAGAGACAGAGTAGGGGACAGAGACATAGGCATAAATATCCACTCACACACACACACACACACACACACACACAGAGAGAGAGAGAGAGAGAGAGAGAAGAGACAGAGAGAGAGACACACACACAGAGAGAGAGATTGCTCCAGAATAGTAAAAATGGGTGTCTCAATGTTCAAGGCCGTGGTCAGGTGACTTTGACCAAGCCAACACTGTAGCAAACAAGGAGGGCTGGGCTATTCACTCCCCTCCACTCCATCTCCTGCAAGTCAGCTCTGGTGCCTTAGACACAGCAGTCTGTAGAGGGCTGTGGTCACAGGAGCTCTTCTCTCTGCCTGTGTCTAGAACCAAGCTGCTGTCATGAGCAACAACTTACCCCAGGCATCCAAGGGAAATGACAGCAAGAGGTTCAAAATGGATAGCAGGAGAACTGAGGGCCCATCAAGAGTGATCCACATCCACAGGCTGCCAGGCAGTGTCACTGAAAGTGAAGTTCTCTCTCTGGCGCTGCCGTTCGGGAAGGTGTCCAACCTACTGTTCCTAAAGGGGAAGAACCAGGCCTTCATGGAGATGAACACAGAGGAGGCCTCCAACACCATGGTCAACTACTACACCTGGGTGACTCCTATGCTACGTGGGCAGCCTGTCCACGTCCAGTTCTCCCGCTACAAAGAGCTCAAGGTGAGCAGATCCCGAAGCCAGTTGGGTGGCCCTGGCCAAGCAGGTGTCTCTGGCCAGGTGGAAGTCCCTGGCCAGGTGGACGCTTCTATCCAGGCAGATGCCTCCAGCCAGTTGAACGACCCCAGCCAGGTGGTTGCCCATCCATGCCAGGCGAGTACCTCCAGGCAGGTGGGTGCACAGCCAGCCCTGTCAGCTTCTGAGACCTCAGACGGAGCAGGAAATGTGGCCTCCGCCACCCCTGCTGCTGCTGCTGCAGTGGACACAGAGATGGTGGTGGCCAGGCACAGCCCTGTGCTCAGGATCCTTGTGGAGAATTACTTCTATCACGTGACGTTGGAAGTGCTGCACCAGCTCTTCTCCAGGTTTGGCACGGTACTGAAAATCATCATATACACTAAGAACAGCCGGTTCCAGGTGCTGTTACAGTATGCTCACCCGCTGAGTGCCCAGCGTGCCAAGCTGTTCTTGGATGGGCAGAACATCTACGACGCGTGCTGCACACTGCGCATTGCCTTCTCTGGGCTCACTGACCTCACAGTCAAGTACAACAACGACAAGAGCCGTGACTACACGCGCCCAGACCTGCCCTCGGGTGACAGCCAGCCCTTGCCAGCCCAGAACACGACCACAGCCTTCGGTGCACCTGTTGTGATCTCAGCTTCTCCATATGCAAGCCCTGGAGTACCTCATCACTTTGCAATTCCTCAAGCCACAGGCCTTGCACTCCCAGGGGTTTGTAGGGCCCTGGCCCCCCTGACTGTACCCGAAGCAGCCGTGGCAGTGGCCACAGCTGGAGCAGAGAGGTCAGTCGTCACCTCAGGCTCCCCAAGTGTGGCGAATGCCGTTCTTCTGGTTGCCAACCTCAACCCTGAGAAAGTCACACCCCAAAGCCTCTTTATCCTGTTTGGTGCCTACGGCAATGTGCAGCGGGTGAAGATCTTGTACAATAGGAAGGAGAACGCGCTAGTGCAGATGGCAGATGGGAGCCAGGCTGAGCTGGCCTTGAAGCACCTGAATGGGCACAAGCTGCACGGCAAGTCTCTGTGCATCATGCCATCGAAGCACCAGAGCGTGAAGCTGCCCCGGGAGGGCAAGGAGGACCAAGGCCTCACCAAAGACTACGTCAACTCGCCACTGCACCGCTTTAAGAAGCCCGGATCCAAGAACTTCCAGAACATCTTTCCGCCCTCTGCCACCCTGCACCTCTCCAACCTCCCCACCTCGGTCTTGGAGGAAGGCCTCAAGAGACTCTTCTCCAGCAACGGGCGTTCTGTCAAGGCTTTCAAGTTCTTCCCAAAGGACCGCAAGATGGCGCTGATCCGGATGGGGTCTGTAGAGGAGGCCATACAGGCCCTGGTCGACCTGCATGGTCATGCACTGGTCCCCAACCAACACCTGCGAGTCTCCTTCTCCAGGATCACCATCTAGAGGACCCTGCTGGGCTCACTGCAGACAACTTCCAGCACTGGACAAAAGGGAACTTTAAAGCCAATGTACTGACCTTGACAGAGCAACAGATTTAGCTGTTGTGTTAGATAGAGGTCCAGGGAAAGAAGAGAGAGAAGAAAGGGGGAAAGGAGGGAGGGAGGGAAGGAGGGAGAGAGAAAGAAGGAGAGAGAGAGAGAGAGAGAGAGAGAGAGAGAGAGAGAGAGAGCAGAACCAACACCAGCAGCATTTTCCCTGATTTCAAAAGGGCTGACTATGGCCATCTTGCTGCCAGGGACAGGCCTCAAGCAGCCCAGTTTTCCTTAGGAAGGGAAGGGCAGGGCACAGCCCCATGGAGTTCCAGACATTTGGCCACAGCAGGTGCTCTGGGCCTTTCCCAGCCTCGAGACCCGCCTGCCCCAACCCAGGCTGCTGTTGTGTTTTGGAGGTGAAGTGGCCTTCAGAAACTCATGTGTCTGGACTCATGGACACCAGCTGGTGGCATTCGTTGGAAAGGCTGTGGAACCTTTAGGAGGTAGGGCTTGCTGGAGGAGGTGAGTCACCTGGAGGCTTTGGAGCCGGCCTCACTTCCTCTGCTTGCAATGCTGCTTCCTGACTACAGGTGAGATACCAACAGCTAGCCTCTTGCCCTCGTTCCTGCTACAATTCCTTCTCCACCAAGGTGGGGTGTACCCTCCCTCTTCCCCCTTTATGGCAGGGTATTTGTTCTTAAGCAATGAGAGAAGTACCCAAGGCAGAATGAGTCTTGGGTGGGGGCCATTGTGTTGACAAACCCAAACCAGGCCATGTGGTGTGCAGGGATCTGAGATGGTCTGGAGGAAGAATATAGAAGAGTTTGGAACTTTGCACTGGGAAGGGCCTAGGACGCTCAAGGAAGAGCTTCACTGGCCAGTCTGGTGGGAGTTTGGAAGGCCAGGGTGCCGAGAGAAATCCAGGCAGGGGACACCCTGCTTGTGAAGTTTCAGAGTGGAGTAAGATTCCTCTGGGAACTTGGCTGGAGGCCATTTGTGGTAAGACCTGAGCCACATATTGCTCATATCCTCAGAAGTTGAGTCAGAATTCCAAAGTGATAGGCTACTTCGTTTGTGGGACAGGATCGCAGCAGGCTGTGTCAAGGTTTACTGCTCAGTCCTCTCACACAGGCTCTCACACAGGTAGGTCTGCAGGGACAGAGAGCAATGAGTGGAGCAGATAGGTATGAAAACTGCAAATTGTCAAGGAAAGAAAAGAGTTCAAAGTTACAGACCAAGCGCAGCTGTCCTGTCCTCATCAGAGGAATTAGCCCCAATCAATACAAGGAGGCAGTGTGGTCTGTGCTGGCACAGTAGCAAAGCTGCCAGGGAGGCAAGGCCCCGGCCACTGAAGGCTCTTCTTGACCTATAAAAGTGCAAATGGGTGGGAAATGAGAGCCACGAATCAGAACAGGACTGAGTGTGTCTCCTGCTCAAAGAGACCACGGCGGAGAACCATTTGCTCTGTCTGAACCACCAAGGTGGATGGAGATCGCTCCTGCTTTGGTCTCACGGGACCATATGGCATATCGAGCTGGTGTGGCAGCACACTCCTCCTGGCTTTGCAAGCAGGCCAAAATGCAAGATTCAGGGATAACAGCTTTGGGTCAAGGGTCCATGAATCCTTGGAAACTAGGCAAAGTGTGGCAGGATCACATCCCCCGCAAGGAGGCACTGGGGTTGGTGTTGCAGAGCTGTGGAGGCAAAGCCTGATTTGCCACAGAGACCCCAGGATGTGGGGGATGCTGAGAGCATGGACCATCCCCCAAGACAAGGTGTGACTGCAGACTGGTGTCAGCTCAACAGAGAGGCTCCTTTGGCCACAGCTAGAGGGAGGGGGCTACACCAGACCTTTGGAACTACAATGGTTCCTGCAGGAGTCACATAATGGACAAGCAGAGGAAGCATTTCCTCTCCCGGTTTGCTCTGAGCTTTCTTTGCTGCGTCTCCATGTTTCCTCTGTGCCATTGTGTGTTAGAAGTGTATAAACCTGTTTTTGATTTTACAGGGGCTCACAGTTAAGAGACGGTCTGAGTCTCAGAAGAGACTCATACTGTTGATCACTATTGGAACTGTTAAAGACCATGGGTGCCTTTGAAGTTGCAATGGGGGTACTGTTTGAGATTTGAAGTAGCCATGAGCCTGTGGGGGCCAGAGAATGCAGTGGTTGGAATGTCTAGGCTTTTGTGTTTGAATGCTTGTCCTTTGGCCACTGGTGCTTTTTTTTTTGGGAAAGCTCTAGATCCTTTCAGAACTGGAATGTGTCTGGAAGAAGCGAAGTCAGGCCAACTCCTTTTCCTGTCTCTGCCTCTCAGCTACGACACAGAGTGATCGGCCATCTCACACCACTGCCATCACACCTTCCCTACTCCAATCCGCTGTATCCCCAGACTGCAAAGACAATAAACCTTTCCTGCTTTAAACCGATTCTTTCAAATCGTGATTTTTATTTTTTTATTTTATTTTTTTAAATTTTTTTGTGGTCAGTGTTGGAATCTGGCTTGTTTGTTTGTCTGTCTGTCTGTTTGTTTGTTTTTCGAGACAGGGTTTCTCTGTGTAACAAACAGCCTTGGCTGTCCTGGAACTCACTTTGTAAACCAGGCTGGCCTTGAACTCACAGAGATCCCCCTGCCTCTACCTCTTGAGTGCTGGGATCAAAGGTGTGCCCCTTTAACCGATTCTTGGGAGTATTTGATCACAGCAGCGAGAGAAATAACTGATCAGGCTTTGCACCCATGTAGCCCGTGAGGCTGGGCTCTCCTCCAGGTGAACATGCACTCCTACTTCATGGCTGGGAAGGCAATGGCTTAGGGCAGCGTTTCTCAGCTTGTGGGCCTTGGCCCCAACTCATGGAATGGCCCTTTCACAGGGGTGGTCCAAGACCATCAGAACACATAGACATTTATTACGATTCACAACAGGAGCTTGATCACAGCTATGAAGTAGAGGTGAAAATAATCTTATGGTTGGGGTCACTACCATATGAGGAACTGTATTAAAGGGTCTCAGCATTAGGAAGGTTGAGAACCGCTGCCTTAGGGAAGTGGGAAATGCAGCAGAGCCTTGGAGAGACAGATTAAGCTTTCAAATGCTACCATGTCAGCAATCATTCCTCAAACTGCTTGTCACTGCCTAGGTGAAAATAAGCGACAAGAACTGTGTTAGGCTTATCACTGTCAAGTTAAAGGTGAACCAGTGATTGGGGCCCCAGATGACACAATGATGAAGACCAAACAGATGGGAGTAAATACTACCAGCTGTGCCACCCTGACCCAACATTAACAAAAGCTAAAAGGTAAGTTCGTGGTAACAAATGGGGTGAGCTACCTCCTGTCTCAAACAGGCACCCTGGCTTTCTGGACCACACAGGACAGCCTTTAGCTGACTGGATAGTTGACCTGACCACGACAGAGGGAGGTTAACTATTTTCTTCTCTGGTGGCCCAAGGAAGTGGAGCAGATTTTGCACTTGAGGCTCAGGTGTTCCTAGGCAGAATGAAGAGATCATGCCCCCACTTTCATAAATGCCCCAAATGGTAAATAAAGCCTTGGGGCACCTTCTTCCTTCTTCTCTCCTGGCACATCCATCTTTGACACTCCAAGGAGGATCTTTCTACTTGGACTTTGTCAGATTAAAGCTCACTTAGCCTTTCCTGTACTCCCTGCCCCATTCTTTGGGGAAGGGGGAAGCAATTCTGAGTTGAGACAACTTTAATTAATGACCAGGTATGATTCTGCAGATCTCCTGTAATCAGATATGGGTGCAGGCGCTCAGGTAACTACTCATGCATTCACAGTGGCCTGAGGCTCTCTCTCTCTCTCTCTCTCTCTCTCTCTCTCTCTCTCTCTCTCTCTCTCTCTCTGTCTGTCTATCTCTTCCTCTGTCTGTCTCTCCATCTGTCTCTCTCTCTGTATCTCTGTCTCTTCCCCCTCTGTCTCTGTCTTTCTCTCCCTCTGTGCCACCTTCACCTGGCTGGTTCTTCCTAAATGTTTTAATTTTCTCTTCCCACTCTGTGTTTTCCTTACTCCAGGTTTCTACCTGTTTCTTCACACTGCCAAGGGGTTCCTCTGATGGCACCTTCTGACAGCTAGGCTCTTGCAGGTTGACTTCTGTTGCTGTCATGAAGCAGCATGGCCAGAAGCAACTTGGGGAGGGAAGGGTTTCTTTGGTTCATAGATCCTGAGCACTCCATCATTGAGGGAAACCAAGGCAGGGACTTCACGTCCCATCCCCTGAGGCAGGGACTGAAGCAATTGCTGTGGAGAGGGAAAGCTGCATGATGACATGTTGCTCCTGGCTCATTTACTTTGCTCACACTCCAGGTCCACCTGTCCAGGGGTGGTGCCACCTCCAGTGGCCTTCCACACCAATCATTAATCAAGACCTGTCTACTGACCAGTCTGATGGAGACATTTTCTCAGTTGAGCTGCACTCTCCTCAGTTGACTCTAGCTTGTATTGAGTTTCCAAAATACTAACTAACTGTAGAAGACTCAATTTCCTGGCTTCACCTCCCTAAAAGCCATTTGAGCTTGCTGTCTGTCTCCTTTCCCCAGTTCTCTGCCATTCTGGTTCACTCTCTCCTCATCCCAGGATCCTCTAACCCCAAGAGCCACTCAGCTAACACTGGGCAGAACTCCTTTGCCTGTGTCTTCTTCCCCATGCCCTGTGGGCCTGCTGAGACTCTCCGGTGGTAGCTATCCTGCTTATGAACAGCCCCATAGCTGTGTCTTCTTCAGGCCCTGTCCCCAGAGTGATTGGTTTAGACTCTCTGACCATGCTGGCCTGACACTTGACCTCATTTTTACTCACCTACCTCTCCAGCTGGCTCTGAGAGACCTTCCCCTGCCTTGTATCACTACTGGCATTTGGACTGACTTGGCTGTGGCTGATTTGGGGGATACAGGCTTTCCCTGTCCTTCTCTTCTTTATCCATGACCATTCTAGCCACCTCCGCTTTCTGGTGTGATTT